CATCTATAACATCGCGTTTTAGAGTTTGGGGTTTTCATTGCTTCAATTTCTGTTCAAGCCCTATTAATCATGTTAATCAAAGAAGTTCTAGAAGGTGTGTATCTTTCTCCAACTATTTGATATTTGTTACTATGAATCCTATTTTCTAATAGCATCTGTGTAGCCGGCTTGTTCTAATCATCTTCTCTTCTCAATTGTACTGCTGACTTTCGACTGAAATAGGGAAAGAAAATACATTTATGCTCCCAAGGCTTACTATTTCTAGCCCACGGCTACAAAGCCACTAGAAATACAAGAGATTTCTTATCTCGCTCATTTTACAACAAATCAATACCTGTGGACCAGAGTTCACAGGTCCGATGTGATTGGTCAACCATTTGGTTAGAACACTGAAAATATAGAAGTAAGCACTGGGCAGTTTCAACGTTTGTGAATGAGCTCAGAATGATCACCATCTGAATATGAGGGCAAGAAAAATCAACAAATAGGATTAAGCCTCTCCAGCACACAAAACCTAAAAGAGGATTTGAAAATTTTATCTGATGAGACTAAGTGTTTATCTTGATGGAAATCTCCATCAAGGCTTCCATTTCTCATTAAGAAAAAACAACTCAATTGACACACTCTTTTTTTTCCCAATGGTAGTTCACATTCTATATTACTTTCTGGTGTGCAGCACAGTGGTTAGACATTTATATAATTTACAAAGTGATCCCCTGATAAATCTAGTACCCACCTGGCCCTATACATAGTTATTACAATATTATTGACTAGATGCCCTATGCTGTACTTTACATCCCATGACTATTTTGTTACCACCAATGGTACTTTTTACTTCCTTCCCCTTTTTTACCCAGACCCTAACCCCCCTCCCATCTGGCTACCATCGATTTGTTCTCTGTGGCTATGAGTTTGTTTCTATTTTATTTGTTCATTTATGTTGTTCTCTAGGTTCCACATATAAGTAAAATCATATGGTATTTGTCTTTTTCTAGCTGACTTATTTCACTTAGCATAATGCCCTCTAGGTTCATCCAGGTTATCACAGATGGTAAGATTTCATTCTTTTTTATGGCCAAATAATATTTCATTGTATATAGGTACCACATCTTCTTTATCTAGTCATTTATTCATGGACACTCAGGTTGCTTCCATATCTTGGCTATTGTCAAGAATGCTATAATGAACATAGGGATGCATATATCTTTTCAAATTAGTATTTTGGGTTTCTTCAGATAAATACCCAGAAGTAGAATTGCTGCATCATAAGGTAGTTCTATTTTTAATTTTTTTTTTTAAGATTTTTATTGGGGAATTGGAGGGATGGGAACAGTGCTGGGGAATTGGGGAAGGGGAACAGACAAGTTGCTGTCGTTTTGTTCTTCAGTCTAGTTGTGGAGGACGTTGCTTCACTGGCCCAAGTTGGCACCATCATTGTGCTCTTCCCGGGTGAGACAGATCAGTCGCCGGCCTCTGGACAGCTGCTCACTGCGGCTGCTGGCCGCTCACACTGGTTGCTGGCTACATATGGTAGCCCATGGCAACCCAATGCCACAGGGGCTGCAGCCTATGCCATCACCAGCAACTCACGGCAGCCCAGCTCCAGGTTGAGCTGTTGTTCAGCATCTTAGCTGTGGAGGGCAGTGTCACTGGCCCTCATATGTGGGATCCGAACCGGGGCCCTCTGGCGCCCCAAGCCAGTTATTAACCATCACGCCATTCGGCCGGCCCTATTTTTAATTTTTTAAGGAAACTTCATACTGTTTTCCATAGTGGCTGCATCCATTTACAATCCCACCAACAGTGTACAAGGGTTCCCTTCTCTCCACATCCTCACTAACACTTGTTGTTTGTTGATTTATTGATGATAGCCATCCTGACAGGTGTGAGGGACATCTCATTGTGGTTTTAATTTGCATTTCTCTGATGACAGTGACATTGAGCGTCTTTTCATGTGTCTATTGGCCATCTGTATGTTAAAACATACTCTTGTATATTTAAAACGTTATCATAGAGAATCATGGCAGTGTGTGTATACCCTTGTGTATCTTCCCTTAAATCTACAACTAATCAGACTTCTACTGGGTTGTCATAAAAGTCATGATGTATTTTATCTGTTTTTCATTGCAAAGGTGCATCATGACTTTTCTGACAACCCAATATAGGAAACAAGCTCTTCTGCTTAACACACTAGCAACTTTGAGGCATCCACATATAGGTAGAACTGAATGAGTGTGTACTGGAACATGTAGGGGAGGCAGGATGAGGGAAAAGACAGGAATGGTACCTGCAGATGCAGCTCCTCAGGTGCTGTGGCTAAGCCCGTGGCCCCAGCTAATGGAGTAATGGTGAAGGAGTCGGGGTATGGCCCCTACACTATGACCCAGTGGAGGGTAAGAAGGGTAGAAACGCTGTTGGTGCCTAAGAACTTGCTCCCTCTCCCGATTGCAGTGGAGCCTGGTAGCAGCAGCGGAGACATGTCTGTGGTCTCCCAGCTACAGCACAGTGGGACCAGCAGGAAAGAGAACCAGGTAACAGCACACTGGGCTCACAACCCAGCTCCCTCCCACCCACCACATCCCCCCACCACAGCAATGTTCCAAGGCCCATATGACCCAAACACAGTGGAAACACTGACCACCCTGTCATCTAGGTGGCAACTCCTATGACCACAGGGACAACCCCCCACCCCCACGCCCCTGAGGCACAACTAGCATAGTAGGTAAGAGAAAACAGAAACTACTTCTACACCACCATCTACTGGAAAACAAAACAAAGACCTCTAACTATCAACCTGCTGAACTGTTAAAATCAAAATGGTACCTAAATGAGAAAGTATTCACTACTTCAAATGCACCTGCAACCCATCAAGTACCATGAACAACCAAGGTAACATGGTCCCATAGAAAGAAAATTCTCCAGAGACCAAACTCAAAGTCATGGCAGATAGTGATCTAAATGACAGAGAATTCAAAATATTAATAGCACTCATGAAGAAACTCAATGCTATAGAAGAAAACTCAGGCTGTTCAATGAGCTCAGGAATAAAATTAATGAATAGAAGGAGAACTTTACCAAAGAGATTGAAACTATAAAAAACAACCAAACAGAAACTCTGGAGCAGAAGAACTCAATAAATGAGATGAAGAATCTATTAGAAAGCATCGGAAATACTGGGTTGTTGGAAAAGTCATGACGTATTTTTTTCTATGTTTCTCGTTGCAAAAATGCATCATGACTTTTCTGACAACCCAATAGATCAAATGAAAGAGAGAATTAGTTCAAAGAAAGAATTCTAGAAATGATTCAAGAGAAAACTAAGATTTTTTTTTAAATGAAAGAACTCTACAAGAACTATCTGACTCTATTAGAAAGGACAACATAAAGATAATGGATATCCCAGAAGGAAAAGAGAGGGAGAAGGGAACAGAGAGCCTATTCAAAGGACTAATTGATGAAAACTTCCAGAACCTAGGGAAAAAACTGGACATTTAAGTACAAGAAGCTAACTGAACACATAACTATCTCAACGCAAAAGACCTTCTCCAGAACACGTTATATTAAAACTGTCAAAAGTTAATAATAAAGAAAGAACTCTCGGGCTGGCTGAGTGGCTCAGTTGGTTAAGAGCTCGCTCAAAGGTTTGAGCTCTGAGCAATAGTGGTTCGAGTCCAGCCCGAGCTGAGCTGCCGCTGAGCTGCCAACAGGTGGCAGGATGGCTCAGCTAAAAAAAAATAAAAGAAAAATAAAAGAAAGAACTCTCAAGGCAGTCTGGGGGAAAAGACAGTAACCTACAAAGGAAGCCTCATCACAATATCATTAGATTTCTCAGCAGAAACTTTGCAGACCAGGAGAGAATGGAATGATAGATTCAAAATATTGAAAGATAGAAATCACCAGCCAAGGCTAATATAGCCAGCAAAGGGACCCTTTAGTATGAAGGAGAAATAAAGACTTTCCCAAGCAAACAAAAACTGAGGGAATTAACCACCAGAAGACCTGCATTACAAGAAATGTTGAAAGGGGTGTTTCTACCTGGAAAAAGAAAAAAAGACAGCAGTACATAAAACTTTGAGTAAGGTGACAAACAGAGAAGAAGAAACTTGTGACTCTATTTAAGAATATGGTGTAAACATTTATAAAGGTTAAAGAAAAAAAGCATTAAAAATATAGCTACGGCAATTTGGTAAAGAACACACAGCATAAAAAGGGGTAACTTGTGACAACAAAAACTTAAAAAGGAAAGAGTAAAAGAATGGAACTTGTACAGATGAATGAAGATAAGATTTTATCAGGAGAAAAAGGACTATTTTATTTATGAGACGTTATATACAAACCTCATGGTAACCACAAAGCAAAAATCCAGAACTGAGATACAAAACATAAAAATAAAAAAGAGGAAACAGAAAAAAACATCCTTTCCTGACACTCATGTCCACCCCAAGCAATCACTGATCTGTGTCTGTCACTATAGATTAGTTTTCATTCTCTAGCATTTTCTATAAATGGAATCATAAGTATTTATTTACTCTTTTTTGTCTGGCTTCTTTTCTTACGTATAGTGGTTTGATACTCATCCGTGTTGCTGTGTGTATCAATAGTTCATTCCTTTTTATTATTGGGTAGTATTGCATTCTGTGGATATAATTCAGTTTGTTCACCCACACATCTGATTTATAATCGAGCCTTCTTTAATGAACCTATGCCCTCTTATAACATGAACACCATGAAATCTCCAGTCACTGGTAAAATTGATCAAGTCACATGTCTGAAGCCACAAAGCTGAGGGCAGACCTGGGAAGGATGGTGTCTCCCACTGAGGGTGGGGTGCTCCCTGGGAGGTCAGTATCTCCAGCCTCCAGGTACCATCTTCCAATTGCAACAGCATGGACTTGGTAATTTGTCATTTTCACTATAAAACAGGATACAGCAAATGTCCTGATTAATAATGATTAAACTCAAGCATCATTTCCTTTCTCCCACACCCCTTGTCATTCCAGACCTCTAAGGGGGACTGTTTGACAGCAGTGAAGATGGCCATTGATATAGGGTACCGGCACTTTGATGGGGCCTTCATCTACAAGAATGAGCATGAAGTGGGGGAGGCGATCAGGGAGAAGATAGCAGAAGGAAAGGTGCACAGAGAGGATATTTTCTACTGCGGAAAGGTGAGGCCTTCCCTTCACCCCCCATCTCCTTATATTAATGGTAGACCTGATGCCACTTTTCTCTGCTCAAGAAGGTTGGACTCACCAAGAGGTGTGAACTCTCAACTGCCAAATTCCTTACTCTTGCCAAGAACTGAGGGACTGGCAAGCCCCTTGAAGGCTAGGGCACAGATCCTTCTTCACACAAAGGCATGGATTTAAAACAATATGGAAAGAAGCAAATCTACAAAGCAAAAATGTGGGGAGTGGAGTGAAGGGGGGGAGGGTTCATATCACATAAACATTTGCCAAAGATTTCTTTAGAAGGGTAGCCTCCTTTTTCTTGTGTGTGTGCCTATTTGTCCATAGATCCCTAATTGTTTTTCATTGAGCTATGATTCACGTACCATTAAGTTCATCATTTTCAATCAGTGGTCTTTAGTATACTCCCAAAGTTGCACAGCCATAATCACTACCTAATTCCAGAATATTTTCATCACTCCAAAGATAAGCCTCACACCCACTAGCAGTGACTTCCCATTTATCTCTCTAACCCACCCAGTCACTAGCAATCACTGATCTGCTTTCCATCTCTCTAGTTTTCTTGTTTTGGACATTTCACACCAATGGGATCATACCATATGTGGCCTTTTGTGTTTAGCTCCTTTCACTTAGTATAATGCTTTCTGGGTTCATACATGCTGTAGCATGTATCGGAATTTCATTTCTTTTTATGACCAAATGATATTCTAATGTATGGATATGCCACATTTTGTTTAGATCACTACCTTTGGAGCAATTTATTTATTTATTTATTTTTATTATTATTATATTTTTTTAGATTTTTATTGGGGAATTGGGGGATGGGAACAGCGCTGGGGAATTGGGGGAAGGGGAACAGACAAGTTACTGTCCTTTGTTCTTCAGTCTAGTTGTGGAGGATGTTGCTTCACTGGCCCAAGTTGGCACCATCATTG